CAGTAGTTTAGAGCAAGCCTGGAGAAGCATCAGGCAAGTTTCTACAGAATGATGTGCCGTTGAATCTCACTCTGTCCTGCAGTTTTCCAGCTGTTGTAATTCCAAGTTATTGATGATTTGAAAATACCATTAAAATTTTGGACTATTTGATATCACTGAAGTCTCCTAAATTGTGATATGCTCATTTGTACTAAAGTTGTATTCAGAACCCCAGAAGAGAGCTGACTTTAGCATGTATGTCGTCTTGTAACAAATGTCCAATAGTACTTGGAATTCTATAGTGTAATTACTTCTTTTACATAATGTTTTATGTTGTCTCGTGGAAGAACTATCTTTGGAGATCTTGTGTACAGGCCTTACATAGTAAACAGGGCATGTTAATGGATTGTCATGCGTTCCACCAATTTTAGTCTTTTCTGCTATGCCTTGGCTATTTTATGGTGGTAAAACAATAACCTCACACTTCTGCATTGGTGTAGTATGATGGCATGCAACATAAAAGCTTGAGTTTCGCATGTCAGCTGCCGACAGTAGTGCTGCTTCTTTAAGGTCTTGATTGCAAGTACTAATGTGTTGTCGTGTTACTAAAACAAAACTGGTTGGAGGGAAAGGTACGCAAGTCAAGAGGCTTCAGGAAAAGTTTCCTGTGCTTTTAATGTGTATTCTTACATTTCTTCATATGAAGCTTGAAACGTTGCAGTATTAGTGCCTATAACATCTGAAATTCATTATGGTTATATACCTGAATTTAAAATTATGAAATTAAGTATAACTAGATCTATATTTAAACTGAAAACTTTAGTTCTTTAGTAAACATGAAGGTCATCTGTACCACTAAGAGAAAAATAACTGCAGATGAATTACTTTAAGTAATGTATTTTATTTTTAAACAATGTATTGTAATAAGGGGAAGGTGAAAAAATATTTTAGGGTCTTCTAGCATCATTTTTAATTATTCTAGATTTGGAGCCTGGTTTTGGAAGTTACAAAGTACCTTATAACAGGCACCACATCCCTTCAGCTAAGAGTCAAGCTTTGAGTAAGGATTTGGGGGATAAACAAGATACCTAACTGGAGAGGAATCTTATATTCTTAGATGGTGGAGTCACAGTAGCAGTGGTTGGTTCTAATAGATATCTGTAAGTTATGCTCCAGCTCTGACCTATCCCTTGGATAAGATTGTTTCCCTCTGTGGATTAGAGAGGAAGTTTAAGTTTCTTAAATTTATTGGAACAAATTCTCATGAATGAATTCTGTCATGCTAATGACAAGGAGACCAAACTCCCTGAATCCGCTTAGCCCAGCGCAGTATCACCCTGTGACTTTGAGCCCAGCACTTCTTCACTTTGAATTTTGCAGCTCGGTGCAGGTTTATCAAGAGCCAAACATGGCTTAATCAGGGATGGCGGTCGGTTGACTTTGAACACAGCTTCTGAAACAACTGTTGCTGAACTTGACAAGATGGATAGATACATTGATTAACCTTGCAGCATAAAGTAATTCTCCTTAGATATTTTAATTCATGACTTCAGAGTGAAGATAACTGCACTGAGCAGCCTGACCTTTTTGGGTCATGGGCCAGTGAAGATTCCCAAGCTAAGGAGGCTTAGGGTTAGGGGGTTTTTGATGTGAGATTTTCGGGTTTTTGTTCAGAAGCCTGTGTTGCTTTTTCCTCTGAATCACTGCACCAATGACTCAGTTATACGAGCGTGATGCCTTTGAAAGTGTTGACTTGAATGGTTGTTACTTTATACATGGTAAGACAAGGACACTTGGCAAGTGTCCAGGCTATTAACCCTGTAAGCTGTAGGTACATCTAGTTTTTTGGTATTTACTTTTACCTTTTCTGCTTTTACGTGGTAAAAAAATTTTCTTACTTGTTTAGAAGTTCATGTGGTATCCGTCTTATAGGTAGGAAAGCAGTTGCCATTATCTGCTTCTGTGAGTAAAGTTATCAGGTATGCCAAAAGTATGTCTTCATTGTCATGCAAAAAACACTTCCTCATTTCCAAGCCAGCTAGCTTCCCTCTCATGGCTTGGTGTTCCCATAAACATGGAAAAGGTGTAGCTGGAGCAGGAAATTCTATGAAAATGAGTAGAGTAGATGGGGCCTTGTAAGGCTCAACTGTGAGAGTCCATGTAGACTTCAGCTCTGTTCTCTTTGTGTTTGAATGTGAAAGCTAGAAAGTGAGCCATTATTACACGGGGAAAGAATGCTTTTATGTTTTCCAGAACTGGTATGAGTCCAAGGAGACCGGGGTCAGTGTACAGTTCTCTTGCTGGCTTGTTGTTCGCGAGAAGGGAAGGTTGTGTGTTCCTGCTCTGCTTTACAATTTGGGTGCACCATGGCTGCTCAGACAGGCCAGAGAGCAGCAGCAGAAGTCCTGCCCTTTTACATGGACAGCTGCAGCAGGACAGCTGCAAACAAGGAAGGTAGCTGGAGAGACAGTGGAGACAGCAAAAGGCCTCAAGTCTGGTGCTTTTGTAGCCTGCGAAGGAGCGCGTGTGTGTTGGAATGCGGAGGGGAAGAAGGATGGATATCTGGAGCTGAGCAATTCAAGTGCATGCTGGTGACAGCAGAATTTTAGAAAATGAGGTCTGGAAGGGACATTAGGATGACACCTGCTCTGTTCTACTGTCTCAAGGTCATGTTGTAAATGTCGTCCCATATCAACCTGTGTCTGAAACATTCTTAAACATTTTTGCGGACTCTCAAAAGCTGCTCAAGAGGTCTGAGATAAGCTTGCAGTTTTCTGATAGCTTTAGCTAATTTTTGAAGTATCCTAGAATGAGTCCATTAGGCCCAGTTAAACTGGAAGTATTCAGACTGCCAAAGTATTCTGTAACCTGTTCTTTACCTGCCGCAGGCTGAACTTGAGCTGCTTGCTCACTTAGAATAAATGTGCTAGCCATCTGTTCACTCTCCATCTTTTTACTAAAGACGGATACAACAAAGGAATTAAACACTGATTTTTCTTGGAGCATCATCTGTTGAGAGAGCTCTGTTCTCTTATGCTAACTAAAATTGGAGTAGTATGGACTCCAGTAAAATATATACTTTGCTTGCTGATTAATGTAACCAAGACCTCTAGAAGAAAGAGCAAGCTAATGTGTAGGCTCCCCAGAGAAAGAGATCGGGTGTAATACGCAGGAGTTGTCACCTGGGAAGGTGAACAGAGTTGTATTATCTCTGTCTGAAACAGTCATTTGTCCTGGTGTTTCCTTATTATTTTGGACAGGACTTTCAGAGTAGCTTTGATCTGTGATCTGCTTTGATCCTGCTTGTGATGGGGCTTTTCTTTATTGATTCTTTTCCTGAAAAGGCCCAATCCTGTTAAAAGGACGTGTCTTTTTCCCCGTGTATTTTCTGCTTTCCTTTCTCAACTGTTTTTGTTCAGATACCACCCTTAGCAAGTCCTCAGCTTGCCTCTGGAGGAGTTGCTGTTTCAATGGCATTGTGTTTATCTGGGCTTGGAATCAGGCTCACTGCATCTGGGAGCTGCTCACCTCATCTGGTGTGAGGATATGGGATTTTTTTTTTCCTTTTTTTTTTTCCTTCTATTTACCTTTCCCTGCATATTTTTTTTTTGGGGGGGGGAGGGGTGTCAATGGTGTTAATACAGTATTGTCAGTATTATCTAACAATCTCAGATTATTCAGTGTCTTTCCATACAGCATTACTGCATGTGTTATTGTGCTCCATGAGTCCATGCCTCTGGTATCTACCCTGCCCTCGTGCACCTGCTACATTCCCAGTGACACACTTGCAGGCCCCTGAGCGCCTGCCTTGTTATCTCTCTGATATTTGTAAGCTGAGTAACAGCATTCATCTGTTCAGATTCTCTTGTTTTTAAACAGAAGAAGTTTTGTTTAGGGAACAATTATATTTTGATGTGGTATTTGCTTCAGCCCAGTACTATCTGTTTTCCAGAAGCAGTGAGGTGATCTGTTTGAATATTAGTTTACAACTCAGTCTTTCAGCTGTTATGTCCTTGAAGGCTCCAAAGTGTATGATTAGAAGGGATTACTTTAAGAGAGCATTTCAATAACAAAGAACTTTTTTTAATGTAGCTTCATCTTTCAGTTATGTGGTGGCACCAGATTTGAAGAATGCTCTTCTGTGGTACAAGATTTGGATTTTTTTTCCATACTCTTAATTTGCAATAGGTGAATATAGATTGCATATCTCATTTATATACTCTCATAGGTTATATTTTATCTGTCTGAAAAGGAACCTTGCAGATCTATTTTGATGGAAAGTAAACAGTCTCTTTAATCTCCTGTTTTAGTGAGGAAGTGAAAAAGAATCTCTGTTCTGTCCGTCCACCAGTAATCATGAAGCTTTCAGGAAGCTTGAAATGTTAAGCCATTATTTTGCCTTTGTTTAGTCAAAATTTGTCAACAGGCTAATAGCTGAAGAGCACATAAACAGACAATATGATCAAATAAGTCGTATTTCCTTAGGAAATCATGTTGAAAAGTAGTAGCTCACTGAAACCCCTGAGTCCTCTTACATGCTAAAGAAGTTGCAGAATTTACAGAAATGTTTGTAAAATTACAGCCCAGTAATTAGTTCAGGCTGTTACTGCAACTGTACATTCTGATATTTGTTCACGCAAGCAGCTAAGTATCTAACTTTTGATGTGGTGTAACCCATTTTGTATGCACAGTTGCAGCATTTTCACAGTTCTGTTGCACATATAAATGTTTGAAGTATATTCTGCAACTCCGAATGGATACTGCTTTTTACTTGTCATTGTTGTGTAAAATAATTAGCTTCAGTTAACTGAGAATACATTAATAAATGAGAAAGCAAAATGTGTTGCAGGTAGTTTCCTGAACTGTCAATTACATACTGTTAAGACAGTTTCATTATGTTATTTTTCTCACATAGATTTATACCTATTTATAACCCTGGATTTATAAGTCCTACATGTTCCCGCTTTACCCCAGTATGTCAGTTCTTACGTTGATTTTGTTTGTTTGTTTGTTCTTTGCAGGTCTGCTATTAAAGCATTGCGTCCCGGTGGATCTCTGGTCTATTCTACGTGCACTCTCTCAAAGGCAGAAAACAGCAGTGTAGTAAATCTCATTCTAAACTCCTGCAGTAATGTTATGCCTGTAGACATAAGTGAAATGGGCAAAGCTGTTTCTCAGGAATTCACTTTTCTCAGTGGTATGCAACAGCATGAACTTCTGGTTCTCCCAGAGAAAGGGAGAGCATGGGGTCCAATGTACGTAGCCAAGTTAAAGAAAATGTAGTCCATCTGATGCCTGTTAGTTTTTTTTTTTTATAAGGAGTATGTGATAAATTAATATTTATTTCTAGTATAGTATGTGTAGATGAACATATCCAAGGCAACGGAGTTTAGAGCACTGCAGTTTTGTATCAGCTGCGGCCTAAGAAAAGGGAGGCTAGACACTTAGCTTAGCTTGAAATACTGAATGAGTCTTCTAATGTGGACCTGTGGGCCTCTGAAGTCCTCATGAAGTCAAGGGAACTTCGTATTATTTTCAAGGTGATGCTCTTAAATGGATTTGTATTCTAGAATAGAGGCCTAATGTGGTGGGTTTTTGCACTGAGGTTTGTTCTGGTTTTTTTTAATTACTAATTAAAATTTTTTTAATTACTAATTTGATTTTAAAATGCTATATTTTAAAATAAATGGTTTCAATGGTCTGAAGTCATGGAAATCCTGCATTCTTTCTCACACACGTCTACAAATCTGTTTTCCCGTCAGAACTGGACTCTGTATGCAGAGTCTGTCATCTTAAGCGCTGACTATTCCAAGCACTGACAAAACAGGTTTCATATTTGCTAAGTTGTTTACTGGTTAAAAATTATCTTTTGTTTACAGTCGCAAAGGTCAGCAGCTGTATCAATGCCAGCTTTTTGTTTTTTTATGTTTCTGAGCTTACAAAAATATAAATTGAAAGAGTAAATTACATTGAAATGTCCTTAAAATAGTAGAGTTAGATGTGTTTTGCTTTGGTACTCAGTTTGTGGCGTAATGCAGTATATCCAGCAGTCTCTAGAGCACATATTTGAAACAGAAGCAGAATAATTAATAACTGCAATAATGGCACAGTATTCAGAGAGTTTCATTACGTAATTACAGTCGTGACAAGCAAAACAGACAATCTGGAGAGGTGGTCTGTGCCACCAAGTTAAGAAATGTTACGCGAATTCGTTATGTCATATTGGTGGTGTGTAAGGGAAGAGAGTCCCTGTGACAGCTGGGGGACTGATGTTGTTTATAAGTTCCCTTTATTCTGCTACACAATGCTATGGATAAATATAGAGACATAGATGCGTATGTTCATGCATGTGCACATGCTAACTGTGTCTTCCTATGTACTGCCTGTGGGTTGGGTGTAAAAACTTGTGGCCCAGCAGTGCTTGAATTCTGCCTGTGAGTGGATCATGTAACAGTGTGTGTATTGGGTTGAACTTTTGTCTGTAAGTAGAATGGAGCCTTTTCATCCCTCTCCGAGCAGAGGAGTCCTTTCCCTGATTGAAGCTTATAATAATTGTTTTTAAGGAATGATGTTTTAAAGAACAGAGTTGTTCTTCTGATAGATGAGTTGCTTGTGTGGAAACGTCTGCGTGTGAGACTGTGTACATTTATATATTTCATATGTTTTGTGTGTACATCTCTGTATATATGTAATTAGAGGTTTTTTGCAATCACAAACATGATTTGTTAATGCAGATTTGATTTTTTTTTTCTGAATACAAAAGAATATCAACTTGTAAATACTGGAAAAACTACCAGATTGGTGATTCTGTGTCTCATTAACAAAGGCAGGAATAAAGTCGATTGCCTGAGGCCTTCTGTAAGGAGCTCCATGTAACCAGGCTGGAAATGCAGCAGTTCTACATGAAATTCTCCAGTGATTCTGTTGCTGTGAGCTCAGAAATACTTGTTAGACCTGTGACTAAACTGCTTTTTGTCTCTGGCATATTCAGGTGGCTTTTCGCTTTCGTTATTCTCTGCTCACCTCGTTACACTGGTGAGCCTCCACTCTTCATTCACACCAGTTCTCTGCCAGTGCACCCACGGTCACGGAGCACTCACCATTCGCCCCTACTCGGACCAATGTGACCACCAGGAAGGTCCTGTCTGTTATATCAAGAGCGGTGAGAGGGCAGTGTTCAGAAGCACAGCGCCTGAACTGAAGAAAATCTTAGCTGCCAAAAAGCAGATGCTGATCGTGAGCAGTAGCTTTGGTTCTTCAGGCTTCTGTGACTAGGAGGAGGACGGGTTGGGCAGCTTGCCCTCAGAATAGGGTCTCACTGCTGCACCTTTAGCTGAAGGAAATAAATACACAAGGTGCTCTTCCCTTTTGGTGCATGAGCTTCCCTAGTTATCCTTTCCCCTGCTTTGTGATGAGAAATGTCTGAGGTGCCACTTTAGTATTCAGTTGTCAGCAGTGTCTCTGACAACTTAGAACGATATAAAGCGTATGCAAGTTGAGGCACAGAAGTTACTAATGTATGCAGATGATATTGTGTTCCTATGAAAAGACCTAGCAGCATCTGTCCCAGAAACATTAAATGTAATATCCAGATTTGGAGTCATCTCAGGCTGCTGGATGAAATAACAATACCCTTGTCAAAACGCTTTCCATCAGTTTTATTTGCCCTGTGGAAATTGAAATGAAAGCCAAGAATGTAACTTACTCGGGGACAGAATTAAAATATGTGGTTAAACTGAATGGTTGAGGAGAACGTGGGCTAGGTAATCACAGAAAGAACAAAGGGATCCTTGAAAACTGAGCTTTGCTCAATCTCAGCATATGGGCGAGTCCCTGTGAACTGCATTGCATTAGACCTAAATTATGCAGCAAGGCCTCCTGATGTATGTAAAAGCTGCACTGAGTTCTGCACAACCATTTGCTGATCTCCTGGAGTTTCCTTTCAACTAGTCTAAACATGCACCAAAAGGGGAGAAAAAAATGAGGCTAATTAATAAGTGATATTTATTTGGCTTTGTAACAGATGAATGCTGGTCCAGGGTGCTGCAGAGTTTTTTTTGTTCTGTTCTAATCAGTTCTGGCTGATGATGGGGATTTGGTATGCACATGTGGAGCGAGAAGGGGCGAGAAGGTAAAAGCAGAAAGGGTGGGAGGACGTGCCTGTGGAGCTAAGGGGCAAGGTTCACACATGTGAGGAAGCATCTTCCACTCAAGGGTACTTCTGCAAAAGGTTTCGTGTCTGGTCAGGTACCTCTTAGATACTTCTGGTGTCCTGAGATGAATTCTGCTCACCTTCAGCACAAAGCTGCAACATTTTCCCTTTTTACACCTTTTTTCCAGGGAGTTGCATTTTAATTCCTCTGCTACCTCCTGCCTCCTATTTCATGAGCAGAAAATAAATCCATCCAAAAGAAATTCCATCCGCTGATGGAAATGGGGTAGCAAACAAGTCAGCCTCTCTAACTTACAGGAAATTGCAGCCCCAGGAAAAAGGCAGGTGAGCAAGATGCGGGCAAGCAAATGACCATTTTTGTTCTATTGTGGAGTAGCCAGAGAAATCTGCATGATCTCCAATGAAGGCAATTAAGAGAGTGTTTGTGCAACTACTGACAATCATATTATGCACACATCGGTGCCAGTATCCCTCAGAGGCAGCAGAGATAACTGCAGCTCAAATACTGTCGTGCTTTTCTGCCATTCCCTTTTCAAACATACAAAAAGTAATTTCCCTGTTAGTTTCAGAGGGGTTGGCACAATAAGAAGTGAAGGCCTCATATAAAGGCAACTTCAGTATTTACCAAATTTTATCCTTTATTCAGTGACATCTGACACAATTCAATTATGCCTTGTCAAAAGCATTCTCCACTGTGCAATAGAGTGGAAAACCAGATTACACACAAATGGCTGTGGACTGTTACAGTCAACCAGGGGACTAACGAACTCTTGGCTTTCTTACGAAGGTGTGCAAAGCGAAGGTGAAGCATGCTAAAAGAGGGGTGAAATGAAAAGCTCAGGGCTACTGCAGTTGAAGAAAAACGTGAAATACTGGAGAAGAGATGCCATGGCTTTTAGCACAGAAGAGCAGCAATGCTGCACCCCATGCAGGAAAAGGTCGTGGGTGTGTGAGTGGTTGGGAGACAAGAGGGGAGTTCTGGGGGGGGGGGGGGACACGGACACACGGACGGACAGGGGGGAGAGGCACGGTTACCTGTGCTGGGGTGGGAGGATCCCCCACATTCATTTGGCTGTCTTATGAGAAAAACGTCTTTTGAGGACACCGATCATGAAAACTGTGGTGGTCTTGCTCTAAATTTGCAGGGTGTTTAAATTAACTATGAGCATTTAAATAGACATGGCTGCCTGTTTCTTGCAAAATGAATGGTTGTATCAGTGCAGGGTTGCTGTTGGAAAAAGTGGTGGGAGTAAATTTTGAGAATCTGGTCTGTCTTAAATAGTCTGTTCTGTCCGAGAATATGACCTGCTGGTCAGCTGATTGAACTTTATGCAATATTGGCTCTAAATGAGACTCTTGTAGGGGAAACTTGAACAGCATGTATTGCTGTAGCCTCTTAACTGCCAGGTAAAAACTCAGGTAAAAGTGAAACTTCAGGTTCTCAGTTATCAGTCTGTCAAACTTGGGAGAAGAGAGCACAGGGCATACACAGTCACTACTCTTAGCTTTTAGATGGTGCTGCTGTGTCCCCACCACGTGATTTTTAACTAAAGGTAGGTTTTTATAAGACAGATCATAGCAATCATGAAACATTTGTCAGAAAATGCTTTCATTGGCTGATCTCCCTTGCTGCCTCCGAAGATTTGAGGTCAAGGTCTAATGGCCTTGGAAGGTTTTATTTTCTTAGTAGCTGTACACAGTTTTCAGCAGGGGCAAGCACCACAGAGCTCCCATGGCTCCATTTAAAAAAATATGTTTCAGGTGGTACCGAAATAAATTGCCCTGATCAAAAAGTCACAGCTACTCTTGAGAGAAAGGGATGGAACATAAAGCTGGGTTTCATAATAGTGTGTATTTCAGCGAAGAATTTCTGCTCCCTACAGCTGCGTTTAAGGTGGTCAGTATTACAAATGCTTCCTTTCTGTTTCACTTTGTGATGGCATGGCAGTGTGGACATGACAGCACCATGGTCACCAGTGTGTCACTGTGATGTAACCCTTCATGGTCATAGAGGGAAAAGGAAACAGATCTGCTACCCTAAAACCACAGGTAATAATCAATTCTATAGTAAGAAGTGCTCCAAAAGCTGTTGCAGAACTAAGTCTTTTGTTAAAGAAGGTAGAATCATGGAATCCC